GATTGAAAAAAGTGATAAATACTAAAAAAAGTGACAAAATTCAAAAAAAAAAAATAATTTTTTAAAAAGTGACAGTAAAAAAAAGTGACACTGAAAAGTGACCATTTACTGTCAACAGGATCCCAGTTCAGTTCAAATTAGAGCTTCATTCATAATGAAGAACAAAATAGATGTCCAAAAAGGAATATTCTATTATGCGAACACATAACTGTACTCATTAATCCTCATCTAAACCAAATAAGGTACGAAAATGAATGTAAAGAAAAAACAATAAGTAAACATATAGGTAGACGCATACACTGCATACAATGGAAGGTAGTTGAAGAAAACAAACACAAGGCAGACTTGTTTAAAGATGGCGTCAGAGCTGAGATGACTCTCTTTAATTCTTCAGTGAGCTGGTACTGATGGCCGGTAAGAGAATTTCACGGCGGATGCCTCCATCCCTTTACTACTCTCTCCATTCTCTTTGATTTTTTTATCCTCCACCTCCTTGTTATTTATCAACTCTTCACTCTCCTCTGATTCCACGACACCACCACAACCATTTCTGATCTCATCAATATTCTCCGAGTCTTCATTTACCGCATTAAAATCAGACCCCGGTATTTTCTCAACAGCGGTGGCTGGTCTCCTCCGAATTGTACGGTTGTCGTCATTGTTTTGCATCCCCGCGATCGACGGCGTCGTTTCCGAACTCTCCAGCAACTCCAAGATCGTCACTTTATCATCAAACAGAATATTCTAAATGAAATAGAGAATCCCAGACAGAATTAAATAATAAGTGCCACCAGAAAATGATTCGACATGCAAGGACAGTACAGAAGAAAATGGATAAATATCAGGATAAAATAGGAGGGGGAAGAAGAAGAGAACCCACAAATTTTGAGGCAAAAACAAAAAAATAAAAAATAAACTTTGGCTGTTTGTTCAATTCTTAATTATAATGGAATATCATAATGGACTTCAGATGATGATTATGTATTATCCACGCACTATACATTCTCCACCACCAGCACTTCCTCTGGCTGTATTAAATCAACATAAAAAAGGATTAAAAACTACATAGAATACACATCAACATATATATAACAGAAAATTGAAAACTAGCCCTAAAAACAAACCTCTGCAATTATCTCTCTAGCTGACAAAATTTTTTGAAATTAAAGAAACATATGCAATTCCTTAACCAATTAAATCGGACCCGACTTGCAAACAAATTTAGTTTATATAATCCCGCCAACATGCTGGGTTCAAGCCAATCGCAGTAACTCAGACCTAATCAAGAACTGGTAGACGGATGGTCTTAAATTGGTCGGGTCGTCTCATGGGCGGAAGGGCATGGGGGCGAGGGCGCCCAACCGCCCCTTCAACTTTTTAAATCTCTTTTCCCATTTTATACAGAATTTTTTTAATGTATACTTAATATTCAAGGAAAACCCATTTAACACGAAAGGATAAAGGAAAAAAAAATGAAGTTACCGGTGGTCGGATTGACGTTGAATACGGCAAGAATATCGGAAGACTCGTCGATAGAAGAACGAAAAGGCTTCAAGTTCTTTTTTTGGAACCGGGAGAAGGAAAAGGCATTGGTGGCGACGGTGACGAAAACCAGAATTCCGGCGAGTTTCGTCGTCGATATAAAGAGTGCCGCAAGTGTCATTTCCATAAATATTCGAAGTTGAAACTGAAAGTAGGTAATGGGTTGGAGGTGAGGTGGAGGTAGAGGTGGAGGTGGTGGCTTATTTGAGGTGGAGGTGATAGTTATGGATTTGAGGTGTGGTGTGTGGTGTCAGTGGTGGAGCGGGGTGATGTGAGGTGTGGGAGATGAAGAGTTTTAGATTAGGACGTAATTATTACTTGATTAAAATGTTTAATTAGTTTAAAAGTTATTAATCAAAATAGTTATTTTTATAGGATATACAGCCTAATTTCCTCATATCCAAATACCAAAAGCATACTTGTGATTCTGCTTGATTTTT